AAGCCACTGGGTCTAGGACTTGAACTGGCGGTTGGTTATGTCGGATCCAGTCACCCTAACTGCCATGCCACCAGCTGGCCCTACCCTAGACTCTTTTATTCAAGTCCTACTCTGTCTATGGCAGCAGCAGTCCTCAACCTTCCTGGCACCAGGGATCCACCATATGGAAGAAAAATCCCTCGATGGACCAGGGGCAGGGTGTGAACAGTTAGTCTCAGTATGACTCAAGTGCACCATATTCACTATGCACTTTATTGTCTCCGCTACCACATTGCACTATTCAGTGAAACAATCAGAAAATAACAAGAGTTTGTGTTCATCAAGAATCTGATACTGCTGCTGATCCAATAGGAGGTCGAGCCCATTTGGCAATGGGCTCCAAACACAGATGAAGCCTGGCTAACTAGCTGCCCACACCCCACTCGGGTGGGAGGGCAACAGGCCATGGACTGGCATCAGTCTGTCCTGGGGGTTGGGGACTCCTGGTCCACAGGACATTTCTAGCCTTAAATTTTAGCCAAGCACTGGTAGATAGACACCCAGCAGGCCCCAATAAATTATTCCGACCATTGATGTTTATTTATTGTCACTCTCAGTGACTAAGTTCTGGCTCCCTCAACCACTAAGCTACAAGGTCAGCCAGAAATATACTTTTCTTAAAAATCTACTATAGGGCATATGTGGTTGCCAGAGAAATACGGGTCAGAGTGAGAGTGAGAAAGCATCCCCCAGGGGATGACCACATTGTGGTCCCTTCTCCATTCTCTCAGGGTTTGGGACCTGCATGTGCCTGCCATGTTTTTCAGGCCTATGGGTCCAGGACTTGAACTGCAAAGACAGCTGTATGTAATTCAGCTGCCTAAACTCCTACACCACCTGGCTGGCCCAACTTTTTTTTTTTTTTTAAAGTCAAAACTAACATTTTGGTAGGTACACTTAGATGATAAAATTATATAGAAAAGGAAGGATGTGATTATTAGAAGTTAGTATAGTGGCTACTTTGGGAAGAGGGGGACATTATATAGGTAAGGAATATAGGAGGAACTTTGAAGGTGACTGGCAAGACTCAGTGTCCTGAAACGAGTGGTACTTGAAGGATGTCTACCTCGTAGTAATTATTTAGCTTATGCTTTTGCCTTATGGGCTTTTCTGTTCTATTTGGAGGGTAAATATGATAATTATGACTACTATGGCAAACATCCTTTCATTTTTTTTCCTCATAGGAGAATATAAATGTTCAGGAAGAGATAGTTTGATTTTTTTGGTTGATGCTTCCTCGGCCATGTTTGAATATCAAGATGAAGAGGAATTATCTCCTTTTGACATGAGCATCCAGGTAAGACTACCTTTATATTTGATTTTTTTAAAAGAATTCTTTAACTTTATTATTTTGTTATTTTCCAGTTTGATCAGACAAACAGAGAAAGGAAGGGAAAGTGAAAAGCAAGCTACTAGGTTTAGGACTTGAACTGCGGTCAGTCATGTAGGAGTCCAGTGCCTTGAACCACCACGCCACCTGCCAGCCCCCCTTTATATTTAATTATTTTTTATTAGATAATTATTGTTTATTTAACTTTATCCATTTATTTTAATTTGACCAGAGAGAGATAGAATGAGAGAGTGAGAAAGTGAGAGGGTGAGAGAGAGAGAGAAAGTGAGAAAGCAAGCCACCAGGTCCAGGACTCGAACTGTGATTGGCCATGTGGGAGTCCAGCACTCTTAACCACCAGGCCACCTGCTGTCCCCCCCCCCCCCCCCCCACACACACAGTTTATATTTAATTTTGAAAGTAACAACAACGAACAGTATGAATACCAGGACTTTAACTACCTTAACCAACATGCCCCCCAGGTGTTTTTTTTTTAGTTTATTTATTTTTTGGAAAGATTTTTTGCTATAGGGAGTGTGTGTTCACTTGTGAGACAGATACAGAGAAAGAGAGAGATATCACCCACTGGGGGATGGCCACACTACAATCCCTTCTTCTCCTTCCTGGTGTGTTTCAAACTGCTGGGTCCAGGACTCAAACCGCGGTAGGCCTGTGGGAGTCTAGCACCTCATCCACTATGCCACCTGCTGGCCCCAGTTATTCGTTTTAAAATGATTGATTTTGTTATGCAAATTATACCTTAATTAAAAAGATTACTCCAACTACTCAGGAGACTGAAACAGGATGATGACATGGTGAAAAAAAGTGAACTCAATTCTATTTTTGTTTCTTTTTGTGTGTGTGTGTAGAGATATTTTTGCTATAGGGTATGTGTGTGCCCAAAGAGACAGAAAGTGAGAAATCACCTGTAGGTGGGATGGCCATGCTACGGTCCCTTCTCCATTCTCCTCTCAGGATTTTGAGCACACATGCACGAGTATCTGGTGTGAGTTTTAAGCTGCTGGCCTGGGACTGAACTGTGGTCAACTACGTGGGAGTCCAGTGACATCATCATTACGCCATCTGCTGGTTCTGTTCTTTTTTCCTTTTTCTTTCTACTTATTCTAGGAGAGAAAGACAGCATCCCATCCCAAATAGGGTCTTTTTTTTTTTTTTAAGAATTATTTTATTTAACCTTATTTACCTATTTATTTTATTTGACCAGAGAGGGACAGAGTGAGAGAGAGACAAAGTGAGAAAGCAAGATGCCAGATCCAGACTTGAACCGCGGTTGGCTATGTGGGAGTCCAGTGTCCTTAACCACCATGCCATCTGCCAGCCTCCCAAACAGGGTTTTGATACTGTGGTCCACTTGCAGTTCCAGCCAGCCTCAGACTGTAGGCACACACTTGCTTGTTGTACTCAGGGAGGCCTCCAGTTATGAACCTGGTTGTGGGTCAGCCTTGCAGAGCATTGCTTTTTACCACTGCACCCCTCTCCAGCCCCTAAACTCCAGGTGTTCTGGTTTCAGTGCTGGTTTTTTTTTTCCCCCCTCTTTGGGACAGTTTTTTCCCTGAGAATATACATATTTTTAATTTCTCAATGTCTTGTGGCAGGGACTCCTTAAATTTCTTTTCTTTCTTTCTTCCTTTTTTTTTTTTTAAATAAGGTTTTTGCCTTAGGGCACATGTGCTCATGAGGCAGAGGTAGTGGAGAGACAGAGACAGTGAAAAGGAAAGTGAGAAATCACTCCCAATGGGAGATGGCCACACTGCAGTCTCTTTTCCTCCTGGGATATTGGGCTAGAATGAGTTACAAGCCACCGCGTTCAGGACTCGAACCTTGGTCGACCATGGGAGTCAAGCAGTGTAATCACTATGCCATCTGCTGGCCTTGGAACTACTTATATTTCTGCATACTTACTATACTGCTTTTTGTTGTGACTTGATGTGTATGCCTATCACTCTCAGTGATTCATGAGATTTGCAGTAGGTGTGTCATCTCTTTCATCTATTTTTTATTTTTACTAGAGGGCACATGCACTTGTCAGTGAGAGAGGGAGAAGAGAAAGTGTCCCTCTCTGGGGAATGGTCACACCATGGTCCCTTCTCTGTCTCTCCTTCCCTTCGGGATTTTGTGCATGCATGCACACTGAGTCCAGGTCTCTTAACTCATAGCTGGCCAAAGTCTGGGGTCTGGCTGCCTTATGTACCAGGCCACAAAGCTGGCCTGGTGTCTTTTTTTTTAAATTACTTTATTTAACTTTATTTATTTATTTAAATTTGACCAGAGAGGGCCAGAGAGAGAGAAATAAAGAAAGCAACAAACCACCAGGTCCTGGACTCAAACCACGACTGCCCTTAACCACCACGCCATCTGCTGGCCCCCCCTATTTTTTTTTAACAATTATTTTACTTTTTAACTTTTATTTATTTATTTTAACTTGACCAGAGAGGGACAGAGCAAGGGGGCAGGGAGGGAAAATAGGAAACAAGCTGCCAGGTCCAGGAATTGAACCACTGTCGACTATGTGGAAGTCCAGTGCCTTTAACCACCACTCCACCTGCCATCGTCCCCTGGTGTCATGTCTTATCTTAGTGCTACTATATGTAAATTCAACAAGTATATATATATATAGATATATATATATCTATATATATCTATACTTGTTGAATTTACATATAGTAGCACTAAGTCCCTTCTCCTCCATTCTCCTCTCAGGATCTTGGGCACGCACGCACACGTGCCCGGCGTGAGTTTAAGCCACCAGGTCCGGGACTCGAACTGCGGTTGGCTATATGAGAGTTCCGTGACATAGCCATTACGCTAACTGCTGGTCCCAACAAGTATATATTGAATACCTACTATATGCCAGAGACTTAGGTAACTTAAATGTAGTGGAACATAAATATTAATTGAACTTTTTTCTTTTTTTTTTTTATTTTAGTGTATCCAGAGTGTGTACACTAATAAGCTCATAAGCAGTGATCGAGATCTCTTGGCAGTGGTGTTCTATGGTACTGAGAAAGACAAAAATTCAGTGAATTTCAAAAATATTTACGTCTTACAAGAGTTGGATAGTCCAGGTCAGTAAAATTCCAAGATCAGCTTTGCCCTTGTATAAGAATGTCGCTACCATGAGCAAAGAGAGCTGTGGAGAAGGAAGCAGGTTACCTTTTGTTTAGGAATATGCTTTCCTGCACAAGCAGTCCTTGCTGGGATGTGGTTTGCACACATGGATTAAACATCCCTGGGGTGAGGAGGGGACCCTGGTTTGTGGTAAAGGCAGCCACGGACACTCTCTGATTTTTCTGTCCATTTGACTCCCTGCCTCTGATCAGGTGCTAAACGAGTGCTAGAACTCGACCAGTTTAAGGGGCAACAGGGCAAGAAACGATTCCAAGACCAGATGGGCCATGGATCTGACTACTCATTCAGTGAAGTGCTATGGGTCTGTGCCAACCTCTTTAGTGATGTCCAGGTCAAAATGAGTCATAAGAGAATCATGCTGTTCACCAACGAAGATGACCCCCACCGCAATGACAGCGCCAAGGCCAGCCGGGCCAGGACCAAAGCCAGTGATCTTCGTGACACGGGTGGGCTTTTCTCCTGTTCTTTGAAATTGACCTTTTATTGTATTGTTTACTTTTTTTTTTTTTTAATTTGCCAGAGGGCATATGCTCTTGCCAAAGTGACAGAGAAGGAGAGGGAGAAATCACTCCCAAAATGGTGTGTGGGCATGTTGCAATTCCTTCTCCTTCATTTGTCTTTCCTGTTGGGATTTGGGGCATGTGTGCACACACATGTCTCTAGAGTGTTTCTCAAGCTGTCAGGGCCAGGATTCAGATCATGCCGTCATCCATGTGGGATCTAAATTTCTATGAATAGTGCTTAGCCTCTGTGCTATAGGGCCAGCCCTGTATTGCTTTCTTTAGAGCTGGTGTCCAGAATTTGCTTTTCACCACTCAGTGAATTAAAATGAAACAGGCGAAGACATTAACACTGAAAATGGCCATGCCGTTATCTATCAAAAGGACTATCAGAATAAGCCTTTTCTTACTTCAGTATGTTCATTAATGGTGGTTGAACAAATTATGTGAAGTTAAATATAGTGTGTGCGTGTGCACACGCGCGTACGCACACATGTGTATGTATATATTTTAACTTGCTAGAGAGCGCGTGCACTCATCCGGGCTAGGGACAGAGAGCATTCCTGATGGAAGATGACCATGCTGCAATCCCTTCTGCTCCATTTCCTCTTTGGGGATTTTGGGCAACACAGCGCTACACAACACAACACAACACAGCACGCACATGCACACACACACCATGTTTTTCAAGCAAACTCAAACTGTACAGTCAGCCCCCTAGGATCCAGCCCCTTTAACCACCATACCACCTGGCTGGCCCTTTCTGGGGAGCTTTTAAAAGCATATTTGAGTTTTAACTCGAAATAGGTTTCATTTGCTAAAAATTTTTTTTTCTTCTTCTTGCTTTTGTGTATCCCTACACCCCAGGTATCTTCCTTGAGTTGATGCATCTGAAGAAACCTGGGGGCTTTGACATATCCTTGTTCTACAGAGATATTATTAGTGTAGCAGAGGATGAGGACCTCGGGGTTCACTTAGAGGTGTCGAGCAAACTAGAAGACCTAATGAGGAAGGTTCGTGCCAAGGAAACCAAGAAGAGACCACTCTACAGGTGTGCACTAAAGCCAGCCGGCTGCCCACAGTCCCCTAACAAATCTTAAGCAATGTGTTGCTGTGACTTTCTTGGCTAATGAATTCTGGACTACACTGTTTACTGTGTTCTTGTGGAACACATGGCTTTGTTTCAGGGTAGCACAAACTACTTCTCTTTCTTGGGCAAGATCTGGTTTGGCATTTTTCTAAAATAAGCTTCCATTTCCTTGGGGTGGCATGGCTTAAGTGTATCATCAGCTGTGCTCACTGGTACTTTGCTTCTTACCCTTAGTAAATCAAGGATAACCACAGTACCTGACTTGTTAGTTTATTGTGAGGAATAGACACAAGGCACTTATAAAACAGCCAGGTATGGAGCAAAAACTCACTAAGTGTTGTAATAATCGTAACTAAAACTCTTACTCTGATTTCTCGCAAATTTTAGATCAAACCAGAATGCTAAGATTACCTTCTCATAGAGAAAGCTCTTCATGGTTTATTTCTGAAGATCAATTAGGCTTTTATTTTAGACTGGTTTTCTCAGTGTAGGAAATGTAGGAGTCATGACCTTTGTTCATTTTTGAGCTCTTTTTTTTTTTTTTGGAGAGGTTTTTGCTATAGGGCACGTGTGCTCATCAGAGAGACAGAGAGACATAAAGCGAGAAATCACCCCCCAGGGGAGATGGCCATGCCGCAATCCCTTCTCTTCTCCTCCATTCTCCTCTTGGGATCTTGGGCACGCACGCATATGCGCCCGGCGTGAGTTTTAAGCCACCGGGTCTGGGACTTGAACCACGGTCAACTATGTGGGAGTCCAGCGACATAGCCATTACGCTAATTGCTGGTCCCCAGGAATCTAAGTTTTTAATTCTTTAAATAATTATTTAACTTTACCTATCCAGCACCCTTATCCACCACACCACTTGCCAGCCTCAACTTTATCTATTTGTCTGTCTGTCTGTCCACCTGTCCGTCTGTCCATCTGTCTCTCCATCCGTCCGTCCGTCCGTCCGTCCGTCCATCCACCCCTCTGACCAGAGAGGGACAGAGTGAGAGAGAGAAAGAGAGGAAAGGTGAGAAAGCAAGCCGCCAGGTCCAGGACTCGAACTGCGGTTGGCCATGTAGGAGGAATCCAGTGCCCTTAACCACCATGTAGGAGGAGTCCAGTGCCCTTAACCACCATCCCACCTGTAGACCCCAGGAATCTAATTTTTTTAAAAAGTTTATTTATTCTGAGACAGAGACAAAGAGCCCAGCATTCTCAGCAGGAGCCCCATGCCACGATCCATCCTGAGCCAGCCTAGACAATGGGCACATGTGGACCTGACTTGTAAAAGGAGGCCCTGGGATGTGGCCCTTCTCATGTATTAGCACTGTGCCACTGTCTAGCCCAATTGCTGCAGGAATCTATATAGCAGGAACTAATAACTGTCCAACAGTGTCTGTGGGGTGCCATCATCAGAAAATGTCCTACCCAATCTGTGGAGAGCAGCCATTTGAAAACGTGATGAAAACGTGGCCTATAGACACATGCAGAAAAGCGCTTTTGTAAGCTACTGTAGCAGGGCTATTGTGAAGCATTTAGATATGAAAGCAGTATTTGCTTGCTGTCAGTAGTTATTTTAACAGTGTCTGTGAGTCGCCATCATCAGAAAATGTCCTGCTCAACCATAATGGTCCTTGTCACTGCTTGAGACCCAGACTCCCAGAGAGAACATCTGATGGGCAGAGCCTGGGTCAGACACGCCTACCACCTGGTTGGAGGAGGGTACAATGTCTTGATTAATATTGTCCCAAAACTGCAAGGTGGGAAGAGTACTTCCCAAAGAAAAATTGGAGTTTCTGGGACCAGCAGTTGGTGTAATGGCTATGTTGCTGGACTCCCATGTAGTTGACTGTGGTTTGAATCCTGGACCTGGTGGCTTAAACTCATGCCAAGTGCGTGTGCGTGCGTGCCCAAGATCCTGAGAGGAGAATGGAGGCGAAGGGATTGTGGTGTGGCCATCCCCCCAGGGGGTGATTTCTCGCTTTCTGTCTCTCCGTGTGTCTCTGTCTTTCTGGTGAGCGCACGCACCCTATAGCAAAAACCTCTCAAAAATAAAAAAAATTGGAGTTTCATTATTTTAAGTAGTTAACATATATTTTAAAGAATTATTGGGACCTGCAGTTAGTGTAATGGCTATATTGCTAGGACTCCCACTTAGTCGACCGCGGTTCAAGTCCCAGACCTGGTGGCTTAAACTCACGCCGGGCGCGTGTGCCTGCATGCCCAAGATCATGAGAGGAGAATGAAGGAGAAGGGATTGCGGCGTGGCCATTCCCCCTGGGGGGTTATTTCTCGCTTTCTGTCTCTCTGTCTCTTTGTCTGGCGAGCGCATGCGCCCTATAGCAAAAACCTCTCCAAAAAAAAAAATATTTAACATTTATGTATTTTTTATTTACTTTAATTTGACCAGAGAGGAACATAGTGAGAGAGAAAGAGAAGGAAAGTGAGAGAGCAAGCTGCCAGGTCCGGGACTTGAACCGCAGTTGGCCCTGTGGTGGTCCAGCACCCTTAACCGCCATGCCACCTGCTGGCCCCAGTAGTTAACATATTTTAAAACTGATTTTTGTGTAGGCCTGAGATGGTATTATAGCAAATTCTGTTCTATTAAAATACATTATTAGAGCCTAACAGTTACTTAAATATTATTGAAGAGAGTAAAAGAAATTGGAGCTTGGGTGCCAGGGAGGAATTTTAGATAGGAAAGCACAATCTTTCAGTCCATGCTTTTTTCATTTTTCTCCCCCTCAGGTTAAAGTTTAAGCTCAGCAAAGATATAGCACTCACTGTGGGCATTTATAATTTGCTCCAGAAGGCTTTCAAGTCTTCTGCAATAAGGCTGTATCGGGAAACAAATGAACCAGTGAAAGTCAAGACCCGGATATTTAGTATAAATACAGGCAGTTTGCTCCTGCCTAGCGACACCAAGAGGTCTCAGGTAGGTAGATAAGCCTTCTTACTGAATTTTCTCATTGAAATGTTAACAGGGAGGGTGATGTTGATCAGCCTAATTATTAAATAACTTTTGCATGTGCATCTTTCTAGCTAAACTGTGAAAACACAAAGTTATTGCTCTTTGGAACTGTGGCATCTGGGTCAGTGCTACCTTGAGAGCTAGAAAGTTTAACAGGGCCAGTATTTAAAAGGGATGTCAATTAAAACTTCAGCTCTTAATCTCTCAGCACACGTTGTTCTGAGCCTGACAGTCTAACTCCTTGCTCAGGTGCCCTAGCAGCACCTACTTTATACTTAATAAGGAGATGTGGAGGAGTTGGGAAAGTGTTAGGTGTGAAGTGCACTCTTTTTTTAAAGGAGAGAACTTTATTTTTCCTAAGCCAAGTGCTTGCTATGCTTTGGAATGATACATATCTCTCTTTGTGAACCTGAAAGACAGCCTTAGAACGCACAGAACGATCTCTCATTTTCTCAGCTTCATTTAATTAGTGGATTTGGCCTCAAAAATTAATACCAAATGAGTCATCTTTTTTAATTATGCACAATGTAAAGGAGAATCTGGGATTTTGCATAAGTTCAAGACCTAGAAGGATAACTAAAATTGTATTTTGATTCAACCCTTGAGATGTTTTTTAGAGCATAAATTTCAAGCCAGAGCATTTCACCCTGGCATGCACACTTGCACCTGGTGTGTTTTTCAAGCCACTGTGGTGAGATTCAAACCATGTGGTTGGCCATATGGGATCTGACTCCCTTAACCACTAGGCCACAGGTCTGGGCCCCCCTACCCTTACCTTTTTAAAGCTTTTTATTTTAATTTTTGCCATAGGAGACATGTGCTCACCAGAGAGAGACACAGAAAGACAGAGAGAGAAAGTGAGAAGTAACTTCTGGGGTGCGATGGCTGCACCACAGTCTCTCTTCCGTTCTCCTCTTAGGATTTTGGGCACATGTGTACCTAGCATGATTTTCAAGCTGTTGGGTTTAGGAGCTGAACCCTGGTTAGCCATGTGAGATCCAGCTCCTTAATTACTGTGCCACCTGCTGGGCCTGCCTTACTTTTTGAAGGAAAGAGTTAAGAAATTTCCTCTTCTATTTTAGAAGTAACTAGTTTTATGTTGATTCATAGGCAGTAGCTTTTCTGTTAGCTGAGTTTTCTTTTAATCTTTTTTCTTTTTTTAATTGTCAGAGGGTGCATGCCCTCACCAAAGAGAAGAAGGAGGAAGCACCCTCCAATGGGGCATAGTTGGACTTCAATCCCTTCTCCTCCATTTTTCCATCCTGTTGGGATTTTAGGTACACACAGACATGCCACGGGTGATCTGGCTTCCTTAACCACTAGGCCACAGGGCTGCCCCCCCTTCTTTTTATTTATTTATTTATTTATTTATTTATTTCAAAGAATTATTTTATTTAACTTTATTTATTATTATCATTGTTATTTTCCAGTTTGATCAGAGAGAGAGAGAGAAAGGAAGTGAGAACGCAAGCCACCAGGTCTGAGACTTGAACCATGGTCGGCCATGTGGGAGTCCAGCGCCCCTAGCTTCTATGCCACTTGCCAGCCGCCACCCCCCCCTTTTAATAGCTGTTTTCCTTTACCTGTGATACTGTGTACATGTGAGAGTGAGGGGAGACTTCTGTAGGATCTGGTCATGCCTCAAGCCCCTTCCTCCATTCTCAGATCTTGGATACTCCTGTGCGTGACTGCGTATTTCAGGTTGCCTTTCCCAGGGATTCAAACCAGGGTTGTCATGTGGGATCCAACTTCTCCTGAGCAGCACAGCACCACTGCACCCTTGAGCCAGCCCTGAGTTGTTTTCTTGATCCAATATGCCTGAAGAAACCTCGAGGGTCTTTTTTTGTTCATAAATCCTGAATTTGACTGCTAATAAATTCTGTTATGAATCACCTATCTGTTGGGTTGTTGGGAAAGTCATGACACATTTTTGCATAGAAGAATACTGTGACTTTTCCGACAACCCAATAGGATCAAAATACAAACATTAATATTTGTAAGTGATACTGAATGTGCGCGCACGTGAGTGTGTGTGCGTGTCTACTTCCCATGCCAACTGAGACCTACCATCGTTCCTGCCATAGGTTTTCTCAGTAAATAGGCATGAGGTGAGCATCCTTCGTGTGTCAGGGAGGGTGCTGGGAGCACAGTACCTATGTGTTAAATGAGAGCATGGCCTTTGGCACCAGGCAGATCTGAGTTTAAAGCCCAGTTAGCTGTAGAACCTGGAGCACACTGCCCAACCATTGAACTTCAGTTCTCATTTGTAAAACAGCTTTTAACATCCGCCTCTGCTACAGGGATAAATTAAATGCCACGTGTAAAGCACCTTGTAGTCACTCAGTAAATGTGAACTCCTATTGGAGGAGGACGCCCCTGGGGAACCGTCTTCTTGCTTCTTAGAAGAAGGCTGATTTAGCTTGGTGGTGTCAACGTGCCAGCCATTTGGGTCTCCATGTAGCCTCTCTCTGTGACCTTTGTTGTGCCCCCTCCTTTAGATCTATGGGAACCGTCAGATTCTATTGGAGAAAGAGGAAACAGAAGAGCTGAAACGGTTCGATGAGCCAGGTTTGATTCTCATCGGTTTCAAGCCCTTAGTAATGTTGAAAAAGCACCATTACCTGCGGCCTTCCATGTTCGTGTATCCCGAGGAGACACTGGTAAATGGTAGGTGGCACAGACCAAGGACAGTTTCCTAAACAAACATTGCTAGGCACTGTGTGGGATGCTGATGAGGCATTTTGAAGTCGTTTCATGCTCCAACTTTGGAAATGTAGAACTAAACAAAATTAAAGATTTGTTTAAGACCTTTAACATGCTGATATGTATTGTGCATATCCAGGAGGGGCTATAGAATTTACCATTTTAAGGGCTTACTTCTCATAGAGGTCTTTCTTTGAGGTTCCCAGATAGCAAAAACAAGCAAAAAAACCCTACAGCTTTTTCTCTAATGTTGGAAACTAAAGAGTATGTATGTATCTATATTGTTCAGATCTCTGTTTCTGTGTGCTATGAACCCCCAGATTTCTTTGACTTGATTTTTAAAATTATTTAATTTTATTTATTTATGATTAGTAGTAGTAGTTTTAAATTTTACTATATGCACTTACCAGAGAGAGAGAGAACCGCTAGGTCCAGGATTTGAACCGTGGTTGGTGGGAGTCCAGCATCCCAACCACCATGCCACCTGCTGGCCCCTGACCTTATTTTTGTGTGTGTGTGTTTCTTCCATGAGAGAGAAAAGAGTGAGCCCCCCGCCAGAAAGCGAGAGACAGCACCCCCAGAGAGGGGCTGTGACCTCATTATCTGCTCCCAATCTCAGCCCAGGTCACTTGTGTACCTGGAGTATTCAGGGAGGTCTTTGGATACAAACCCAGAACATTCCCATGTGGGTCATCTTCACAGAGCATTGATATTCTGCTACCATTTGGTTTTCACTAGTGCCTGGGGTTCATGCCTTTAGTCTAGTGCCTGTAAAAGTGAACTGACAGGCCAGTGTTATAATCTAGTTGTTATGGGAGTCAGATCCTACTTGGCCAAACATGGTTCAAATCCTAGACCCGGCATCTTGAAAAATGCACTGAGCATGTGGGCATGCATGTCCCAAATCCCACCAGGTTAGAGAAAAGGAGAAGGGATTGAGGTGTGACCCCACCCCAACTGAGAGGTGCTTCCTCTTTACCTTCTTTCTGGCAAGAGCATGCACCTTCTGGCAATTAAAAAAAAAAAAAGGTGAAAGTCTCATAATCTCTGCTCCTAAATAGAGCTTGTGAACTTTCAAAGTCGTCTTCCTCCCTTCTCCCCTGTATGTCTCTGCTGCTCCTGCATTACCTATTGAAGTATCACAAGCCCTTTGAAGAAAATAAAAGGGAAGTTATAATGTTCTGCTGTGGGCTAAGAAGAAAGGAGGAGACTTCCTTAGGATGGAAGCCAGTGGGGCGTTTGTTTTCTAGGGAGCTCAACCTTGTTCAGTGCTCTCCTCAGCAAGTGTCTGGAGAAGGAGGTCGTAGCAGTGTGCAGGTACACACCCCGCAAGAACACCCCACCGTATTTCGTGGCTCTGGTGCCACAGGAAGAGGAGCTGGATGACCAGAAAATTCAGGTGACTCCCCCAGGTATGTGGTGTAAGTATTTCCAAGACTTCTGAACTTTGCCCAGGCTTTGGTATCATTCGTGGGATCCTGATTCAGACCGCCAAACCATGGTCTCCAGGAACAGGGCCTGGGAAATGTGTATTTTTAAGGTTTCTTAGGGAGTTTCTTGCACAGTCAAGGTTATCAGATAGGCTTGTGCAGTGCATAGCATTCACAGCTATACAAGGCAGTTTTGCAGCCAGGGTTGAGAATTATGTGTAGGGACTTAGACAAGTTCATGGAATATGTGTGTGTGTGTGTGTATAAATACACACACAAATATACACACATGTACATATACATACATACATATATACATGTATGTAATGGGGCATAGTGGGTCATGGATTTTGACATCAGACTTGATTTATATTCTTATGTGTCTGAAAGCTTGTTTGCTTTTGTTTCAGACCCATCTTTGCCACTTGTTAGCCAAACAAGTTGGGCAAATAATTTAGCCTTTCTACTGATATTCCTTATCTACAAAGATGAAGGTTCTAGAATACCTTTCCCTCAAGGTTGTTTTACATTTGAGACAAGTTAATAAAAGTGTAAGTGCCTAATACAAACTAGTCAGCAGAGGGTAGTCTTTCTTCTTTAGTCATACTAATACAAATTTTAAGAACCTGGGGATGGTGGTGTCACCTGTGGTCCCAACTTCTTGAGGAAGAGAAGCAGGGGATCAGGACACAGCAAGACCCAGTCTAAAACACCATCCCACTACCGCACATCCTGACACACGTGAAAAAATTACAACTCTTTGGATATATTCTGGTTTTTGTTTTGTTTTGAGAAAGAGAGTGAATGTGTGTGTTTTAATTGGCATTATTTAGTTCTGGTATTTTTTCAAGAAACCTTTGCTGGCTTTTTGCCAAGTGATCAGAGTATATTCTGGTTTTAACTCTGGTCATCAGCATGTTCAGAAGTGCTCAGTTTTGTTTTTTGTTTGTTTTTGGAGAGGTTTTTCTCTATAGGGCGCGTGTGCTCGCCAGAAAGACAGAGAGACAGAGAGACAGAAAGTGAGAAATTACCCCCCCCAGGGGGGATGGCCACGCCGCAATCCCTTCTGCTCCATTCTCCTCTTGGGATCTTGGGCACGCACGCACATGCGCCCGGCGTGAGTTTTAAGTCACCGGGTTCAGGACTTGAACCACGGTTGACTACATGGGAGTCCAGAGACATAGCCGTTAGGCTAACTGCTGTTTCCCAGAAGTGCTCAGTTTTTAAGCCACTGTCTCTCGACCCCAAGTTCACCCTTCTCACTCTGTGCTGCTGAGGCTGAGACTCTCTAAGCCCAGCTCTCTTCCCAGCTAGCTCTCTGGTAGGCTGTGTCCCAGCCCCTTCCCTTGTGCTTGCTGCTGTCAGTGTCACCAGCAAGGCCCTTTACCTGTAGCAGCAGTTGGTTACAGTGTCTGGGTTTTTCAGTCCTTCCAGAGCCAGTCAGTAACTGGATCAAGATCAGCCTGATAACCCTTACTTATTTCATCCTTTAGTACGTGGTAGTGGCTAGAGAAAAAAGGGAGTGACTGAAGCTCATCAGAGGGCCCTGTGGAGCTGGGCTGTACCCTTTCAGGGAAGGACTCTATCCAGCTGGCTCTGGATGTTTCAGAAAAGCTGGAGGCTAGGACCAACTGCTGCTGCCAGATAAAGGGTCCTTGCTGGGACAGTGCAGACAGGAACAGTGTGTGTCCAGGAAGGGCCCCTCGTGCCTCTCGGTCTCCTTTCCAGAGGGCATCTCTTAGGCAAGTGCTAACAGGAGTCAGATGGGAAAGGAAAAGGATTTTTGTGGGGCCCCAGCAGCACAGGGCACAGAGGGTGAGTTTGGAGCTGAGACACAAGTGACGGCAACACTCTATTAAGTTGATTCCCAGACAATTTGTGTCCTTTGCTCAGGTTTCCAGCTTTTTTACCTACCCTATGCTGATGACAAACGGAAGGTGCCCATTACTGAAAAAGTCAAGGCAAACCCAGAGCAAGTAGACAAGATGAAGGCTATTATTCAGAAACTCCGCTTCAAGTACAGGTTAGTATGGGCCAGTCTCAGGCTTCCTTCTGCAAGTGCCCCCTAAGTAGAAAGCCTTATTAGAAGTTTTCCAAAAAAAAAAAAAAAGTGTTCCCTATGGTGGGGCCAGCAGGTGGCATGGTAGTTAAGGTGCTGGACTTTCCACATGGCCAGAAGCATTTCGAATCCTAGAAATGACAACTTGTTCTCTCTCTTTCTCTTTCTCTGGTGAATTGAAAAATAATGATAATAGGACCAGCAGTTAGCGTAATGGCTGTGTCGCTGGACTCCCACGTAGTCGACCGCGGTTCGCGTCCCGGACCCGGTGGCTTAAAACTCATGCTGGGTGCATGTGCGCATGTGCCCAAGATCCCTAGAGGAGAACAGAGGAGAAGGGATTGCGGCATGGCCATCCCCCCTGGGGGGTGATTTCTCGCTTTCTGTCTCTCTTTCGCGCTCTGTCTGGCGAGCGTACGCGCCCCATAGCAAAAACCTCTCCAAAAAAATAAATAAGTAAAAAATAATGATAATGACAAATAAAACTAAATAATTATTTTTTTAAAATAAGGTTTTACCTGTGGACCCTGCTGCAGTCGTGTAGACTGTGTGATGCTATGGCCACATGAAAGAACCAAGTTTAGATCCTGGACCAGCTGCAACATGCTCAGTGCATTTAGACACCTGTGATCCTAGCTATCCGGAATGCTGGGGTGGGAAAATTGTAGTATGGCAAGATTCTGATGAAAATACCTATTTATCTTTCTCTCCTCTTTACAGTGAGTAAATAATTAGTGAATTAAATTCAAGTGAGGGCCCAGCTACAATAGTCTGTGCTGGGTGCTGTTGCTCGGTAGGCTGAATGCATATGGGAGCCAGGTTTAATTCTTGGCAGCCCCTGAAAAGCTGGGTGTGGTAGCCTGTGTCTATAAGCAACTCAGAGAGAGAGATTGAGGCAAGAGGATGGAAGCTCAGGGCTGACCTGGACAAGACAGCAAGATCAAGAACCTGACAGGGAAAAAAAAAAAAAAAGAACCTGACAGAGAGGGCTGGGCGCAGTAGCATGTATCTGTAGCCTCAGCTACTTGAGAGTCTGAGGCAAGAGGATTGGGTCATGGAGAAATCCTGTCTAAAAGATCTCTACACACAGGGGCCAGCCAGTAGGTGGGGTAGCATTTAAAGCACTGGACTCCCACATGACTTGACTGTGGTTCGAGTCCTGGATCTGGTGACTTGAAAATCACACAGGGCATGTGAGTGTGTGCACCCAAGATCCCAAGGAGAATATGGAGGAGAAAGGTCTGTAGAGTGGCTATCCCTCCAGGGGGTGATTTCTGTAATCACCCTTCTTTCTCTATCTCTGGTAAGTACACGTGCCTTCTAGCAACAACGGGGATATTCTGTAATCCCTTCTCCATTTCTTCACCTTATCAGGACCTGCGTGCACCCATGCATGTGTGCCCAGTATGTTTCTCAAGCCACCAGGTCAGGGACTCAGCCATGTGGTATCTGATTGTTGGCCATTTGTGTCTTCTTTGGAGATATGTCTGCTCAAGTCCTTAGCCCATTTTTTTCTTTCTTTCTTCTTCTTCTTTTTTTTTTTTTGTTTATAGAGTTCTTTTGGGAACCAGCAGTTAGCATAATGGCTATGTCGCTGGACTCCCACGTAGTTGACCATAGTTCGCTTCCCGGACCCGGTGGCTTAAAACTCACGCCGGGCGCATGTGCGTGTGTGCCCAAGATCCTGAGAGGAGAGTGGAGGAGAAGGGATTGCGGCGTGACCATCCCCTCTGGGGGATGATTTCTCGCTTTCTGTCTCTCTCTGTCTGGCGAGCGCACGCGCCCTATAGCGAAAACCTCTCCAAAAAAATAAAAAGTTCTTTTATTTCACTTTATTTACTTATTTTAATTTGATCAGAGAGGGACAGAGTCGGGGTAGGGAGTGAGAAAGCAACCCGCCTGGTCTGGGACTCAAACTGTGGTTGGCCATGTGGGAGTGGGAATTGGCATCTTTAACCGCCATGCCACCTGCTGGGGGCTCCTCCTTTTTTGCATAGCTCATTTTTAAAATTGGGCTATTGATTTTTTTATGAATTAGTTTCCTTATTTCTTTTTTCTTTAGAGAGGTTTTTGCTATAGGGCATGTGCACTTGCCAGAGGGACAGAAATAGAGAGAGATAGAAACCAAGAAATCACCTCCCAAGGGGAATGGCCACACCACAATCCCGTCATCTCTATTCTCCTCTCGGGATTTTGGGCACATACACACACACACACACACATACACACGCACGCCAGTGTGAGGTGTTTTTTTGTTGTTGTTTTTAAAATGATATTTTTGTGGTTTCAGGTCAACCTTTTTTTTTTTTTAAATAATTATTTATTTAACTTTATTCATTCATTTGTTCATTTTAATTTAACCAGAGAGAGACAGAGAGAGCGAGCAAAGGAGAGAGAAAGTGAGAAAGCAAGCCACCTGGTCCAGGACTTGAACCATGGTCGGCCATGTGGGAATGTCCAGCGCCTTAACCACTACGCCACCTGCTGGTCCCTGCCAGTGTGAGTTTTAAGCCACCAGGTCTGGGACTTGAACCGCAGTAAACTACATGAGACTCCAACGACGTAACCATTATGACATTAGCTGGTCCCGTAGTTTTCATATTCTATCTTTTGTCTCTAAGGTACTTCCCTGTTTCCGCATACCTCTGTGCAAAATAACATCTTTCGCTCTCAAACCTCCTGTTGTCCTTTACTGGGCAAGTGAAGGGATTGAGTCTACCATGTGCCAGATGTTTCTAGATTCAATAACAACATCTTATTCACTCTTTTTTTTTTTTTTTAAATGCCAGAGGGCTTATGTACACACATGAGAGAGGGAAAGGGAGAAAAAAAAAGCACCCTTCAGTGGGGCATGGTCACACCACAATCCTTTTTACTTTACTTATCTATCCCTTCAGGGTCCTGTGCACCTGTGCATGGACTTATGTTTTTTCAGGTCCCCAGGAATGGGACTTGAACTGTGGTTGGCCATACACCAGGAGGCTAGCCTTCATTTACTCTTTTAAAAAATTGTTCATGATGGAGTGCATATGCATGCATGCAAGAGAGAGAAAATGGGACCAGCAGATGGCATAATGGTCACATCACTGGACTCCCATGTAAGCAACTGTGTTCAAGTCCTAGACCTGGCAGCTTAACACTCACACTGGGTAGCTATGTGTGCATGCTCAGAATCCCTAGAGGAGAATGGAAGAAAAGAGATTGCAGCATGATGATCCTCCCTGGGGGGTGATTTCTAGCTTTCTGTGTCTCTGGCAAATGCACGTGCCCTATAGCAAAAAAAAAACCTCTCAAAAAAAAAAATAAATAAATAAAATAAAAGAGGGAGAGAAAGCATCCCCCATCCCAACAGGACTTGGTCATACCGTAATCCTTTTGCCTCCAGTTCTTCATCCTGTCAGGATCCTGGACATGTGTATGTGTGCATGTCCAGCATGGTACTGACAGTGCAAGGATTCAAACCCCAGTCAGCCATGTGATATCCACTTCTTCTGCAGTGTTTAACTGCTGTGCTATGGGGCTAGCCCTGTTCTTTAGAGGAACCTTGAAAGTAGGTTTTGTGTTCATTTTATAGATGAAGAAACTGGAACTTAGAGCAGTGATGCAGCTTGCTCAGACTCTCACAGACTCTGGCTGCCTTAACCATTAAGCCACAGGGCCTGCCCCTCCATTACAGTTCTTTGCCCCAGCCTCCCAATCAACCAGAACCACAAGCATGTGCCTCTAGGCCCAGACTATTCAGGAGATCCCTGGGCCTAATTTTAATTTTTTAATGTGTTTAAATATTTAGGTTTTAATCTAGTTATTATCATTGTTTTAACAGAAGTGACGACTTTGAGAACCCAGCGCTACAGCAGCATTTCAGGAACCTGGAGGCCTTAGCTTTGGATTTGATGGAGCCCGAACAAGTCGTAGATCTGACATGTAAGAAGATCCTCAGCCATGGAGGCACATGCTGCTAAGACACTGTGCTCTACAGGCTGGGGCCACATGGGAGGCCTTGGTTTGATTTCTGGTCCAACCTATTGTAAAAGCCAGGTACAGAGTGACATGGCGGTGATCCTAGGGAGTCAGGGAGGCTGTGGTAGGAGGATTATGAGCTCACGTCTGGCCTGAGTAGCATAGTGAGATCTTGCCTAAATAAGAACGAGCTGTGATTTTTCTTGTATATTTTAGAAGAGGTCTTGGGAGTTCAGTGATGTGAGAAAATGCCTCTGGGAGGGAACCAGCAGTTAGCGTAATGGCGGTGTCGCTGGACTCCCACGTAGTCAACCGTGGTTCGCGTCCCGGACCCAGTGGCTTAAAACTCATGCCCAAGATCCCGAGAGGAGAATGGAGGAGAAGGGATTGCGGCGTGACCATCCCCCCGGGAGTGATTTCTCGCTTTCTGTCTCTATGTCTCTCTCTGTCTGTCTGGCGAGCGCACACGCCCTATAGCGGAAACCTCTCAAAAAAAAAAAAAAATGCCTCTGGGAAACAGATTGGATTTAATGAAGATTCTGAACAGGTTAAAAAGATCAGAACAGGGCCAGGCAGTGGCCTGATGGTTAAGGCAGCTGGATCCCACAGTGGCCAACTGCCCAGTAGGCGTCTTGGACCTGGCAGCTTGAAAGACATGCTGCGCACATGTGTATGTCCAAAATCCCGAGAGGAGAGGAGAGGGGATTGTGGTATGGCCTTTCCCCTTGGGGGGTGACTTCTCACTTTCCCTCAGTCTGTCTCTGACAAGCACAGTGCCTTATGGCAAATTAAAAAACAAGGATCAGTGGGCCAGCTGACGGCATAATGATACCTCATTAGACTCCCCCATGGCCGAATGCAGTTCGAGTTCTGGACGTAGTGGCTTGAAACTCACACCAGGCATGTGTGCGTGTGTGCCCAAGATCGTAGGAGGAGAATGGAGGAGGATTGCGGTGTGACCATCCCCCCTGGGGGGGGTGATTTCTTACTTTTCCTCTTACTCTCTCTGTCTCACTCTCTGCCTCTCTCTTTCTCCCCGTGAGTGCATGTGCCCTAAGGCAAAACCTATTAAAAAAAAATACAGATCAGAACAGGGCCAGCCTGTGGCCTGGTGATCGAGATATCTCGATCCCAAACGGCCAGCCATGAGGTTTGAGTCTCAGACCCAGCGTCTTGAGAAACACACTGGGCATACGTGTGTACCTGCCAGGATGATTGCAGGAAGGAGGAGAGGTAGAGGAGAGAGGATTGCAGTATTACCATGCCTCATGGAGTGCTTTCTTACTATCTCTGTCTCTGTCTCTCTAGCTTAGCTGAGCACACACACCCTCTGGCAGAATTAAAATAAAATCAGAACAATTAGTTTGCCCTGCTTGCTTAACTTCTAGGTTATTGATGATCTCTTTTATACTAGATGAAATAGCTCCAGCGTTAACAGCATAGGAGTTATTGTACCTGACCAGTGGTGGCGTGGTGATTAAAGGGAGACTGGATTCTATTGTGCATGGCCAACTGTGCAGTTTGAGTTACGACCCTGGTGACTTGAAAAACACACCAGGCATGTGTGTGCTTACCCAAAATTGAAAGGAGAGGGAGTTGTGGCATGCTCCCCCGTGAGGGGGTGCTTTCTCACACCCCGTTGCTCTGCCTTTCTACACCAAGTGCACACACTCTAGCAAGTTAAAAACAAAAAGTTACTGTACCAGTGTTACTGTGATTATTAGCTGGGTTGGGAAGAAGAGAAACCCTTGGATGAAGCCACCCTTATGAGAGGGTCACGGAAAGAATCTCGGCCTTTAATAAATTCTTTAGGCAAATTAGGAAGTAAGTTGTGCAATGCCTAGCTAGTTAGTCAAGGACACAGGCTTTGGAGACAACTGATGTAATTTATTATTATTTTATTTAACTTTATTTTAATTTGCCCAGAGAGAGTGAGAGAGAGAAAAAGTGAGAAAGCAAGTCGCCAGGTTCGTGACTTGAACCGTGGTTGGCCATTTGGGAGTCCAGCGCACTTAACCACCACACCACCTGCCAGCGCCACAAGTGATGTGATTTTTTTTTTTTTTGGTATTATTTATTTATTTATTTTTGGAGAGATTTTCACTGTAGGGCGCGTGCGCTCGCCAGACAGAGAGAGACATAGAGACAGAAAGCGAGAAATCACCCCCCAGAGGGGATGGTCACGCTGCAATCCCTTCTCCTCCATTCTCCTCTTGAGATCTTGGGCACGCACGCACACGCGCCCGGCGTGAGTTTTAAGCCACCGGGCCCAGGACACGAACCGCGGTCGACTACGTGGGAGTCCAGCGACATAGCCATTACGCTAACTGCTGGTTCCCAAGTGATGTGATTTTGAATCTTGGTTCTGCCACTTATTAAATTGAGCCACTTTGGAAATGTTATATAACCGCTCTGAAACTGTTTCCTTTTTGGAAAGTGAGGATAAGGACATTGTTCTTACAAGATGTTGACAGAATCTGGGTCCTGACATGTGATCATTCTCGTTTGTCCACAGTTACTCTACATCCTGGGCCTCCTCCTCTTACATTCTAGTTAATGGCCCTGTAATTTCACTGAAAAAGTCCTGCCTTTTCTCTTCCTACCTCTGTTTTCAAAACAGTTCAGCTGCTCCAGTATTTCCTGTAACCTGAAGGACCCAGGTTTCTGTCCACAGCCCTCTCTTCTCTCCCCTCCTGTTGGCTATTTCACCCTCTCTCAACCTCAGGTACCACCCCACGCTCATGCCTCCCAAGCCTCCCTCTCTAGCCCTGTCCATTCTTCTAGGCTCTAGTCTGGAACTTCCAGCTGTGGTCTCTGGACCAGCAGCTTCCATGTTACCTGGGCCATGTTAGAAAGCATTCTTTTAAGTTTTTTTTTTCTTAAATTCATGGTAAAGAGTATGTGTGCATGCATGTGAGGGTAAGAGAAGAGGACACTCCACAGGGTGTGGTTATGCCACGATCCCTTTCAGTCATCCAGCCCATCCGATCTTGGACACTTGCACACGTGCTCTGCCTGTTTTAGGCTGACTGGGCTAGGGATTCGAATTCAGCTGCTATGTGGGATCTGGCTTCCCTGGCGCAGCACATCACCTCTGTGCCATGGAGTCAGCCCAGAAGTGCACGTTCATGGGCCCTACTTCAAGTTGAGTGAATCTGAAGCTCAGGTTGGGGCTCAGGAACTTGTTTAACAGACTTCAGGTGATTCTGAGACATGCCTCTACCTTCGCGTTGGTTCTCAATTTGGGCTATACAACAGGATCGCTTGGGTTTTGCACAGTCTCACTGCTGAGGCCAGAAAGTGGCACAGTGGTGGAGTGCAGTGCTCTGGAAGGCGATGATCCCACACGAGAGGGTCCCAGCTCAAGTCTGGAGACCTCCCTGAGTATGCCGGGCCTGTGTGTGTCCATGACTTGGGGCTGGCTGAGACCGGGAGTGGATTATGGTGCTGAGTCCCTGTTGGGGGTGCTGTGTCTGTCTGTCTGTCTTTCTCTCATTCTTTCTCTCTCTCTCACTCATGGAAGAAATAAAAGAGAATCTGGTTATTCAGGCCTCACTGCAGATGAATGAAATCTGTATCTGGGGGGTGGGGCTTGGGCCTCAGTAGCTTTTGAAAGTCCCCCAGTAACTCCCAGGATGAGAGCCAGTGTTTAGCTCCTGTTTTCAGGAACAGGCTCTGCCAGGGGAGCGCAGCTTGTCCCTCAACTTGGACCATCTTCTAGTCACACTAGAGGGTAGGAGCTCCCTTCCTAGTGCCTTGCAAACATGGTCACGTGAGGAAATGATGAGCCACCCACCTCAGCACCTTTGCCTTCGATGTGACACAGCTCATGCTGAAAGCCCCACAAATGACAGTTTTAATCAACAAGAAAGGAAACAAAAGTGCTCTCTCTCTTGCATCTCCCATTTCTACTGTATTTGGCCTAGGAGCGCTCCCGCCATCCCAGCCGCTCAGTGCCTTGGAAAGGCCTGTGAATGCCAGCACTCGCGTGCTTGTGGCCCTACCCACCCTCTGCCCAGTCATCTGGTTTACCCTCGTGTGCTTCCTACTTCATGTAGCATCAGGGTAATCTGGCTAGATGCCGGGTCGGTCATGCCGCTCCCCCGCCACAGTCCTCGAGAATTTCCCGCTGGTCACAGGATAGGGTTGAACTCCTAGCCCTCTGGGGCGTCCATATCTCACCCTGCCGCTTTTCCAACCTTGCCAGCCCTGCCTCCTCATCCCCATCCTCAAGCTGTGTGTCGCCTGCTGGTTCTCACCTGCTGCTCTCCTACTTATGCTTTTCCCCACGCTGCTGCAGAGTTTTTCCTTCTCCCCGTTCTTGCTGTTTTGTTGCTAATAACAGAAAGTACCTGGGAACCAGCAGTTAGCGTAATGGCTATGTCGCTGGACTCCCACGTAGTCTACTACGGTTCGCATCCCAGACCCGGTGGCTTAGAACTCACACCGGGCGCGTGTGCGTGCGTGCCCAAGATCCCGAGAGGAGAATGGAGGAGAAGGGATTGCGGCATGGCCCTCCCCCCTGGGGGGTGATTTCTCGCTTTCTGTCTCTATGTCTCCTCTCTGTCTGTCTGGCGAGTGCACACACCCTATAGCGAAAACCTCTCAAAAAAAAAAAAAGTACCTGAAACTGGGTGATTTATAAAAATACAGATTTATTCGTGTCATGGTTTAGAGATCCAGACTCTGTCTGGTGGATATTCCTGTTGGTGGGGTCCCGAGGCCCTGAGAGCAAGAGTGGAGCGGAGTGTCTGTCCATGAGTTCCTCTCTGACTAGGCTAAGTAGCCCACTGGGGCACGGGTTCCCATTTGAATCCCAGAATCTATCCCAGTCTCTCAGCTCTACCACTTCTCAGCTGTTTGACTTCGAGCAGGTCACAGACTTCCTGCTTTCCTCCCCTATAAAAGGGGGAGACAAACTTATCTACCCTATAGGTTGTTATAAAGATTAAATAAAAATGAGAAGTTTTGCCTGGCTGCAGTAAGTGCGATTGTTAGGAGGTACCCAGTGAGTACCTGAGGACTGGATGGCGTGCTTTATGGACAGGCCAGCCACTGCCTCGCAGACCCTCCCCTCCCGCCCAGCAGTTAGGTACATTCTCCTCTAGTCCTGGGTTTTGGCTTACCAGCCCACTCTCTTATGTTTTGGTTTTCTAGTGCCCAAGGTTGAAGAAATGGATAAAAGACTGGGCTCTCTGGTAGATGAGTTTAAGGAACTCGTCTACCCACCAGATTACACTCCTGACAGGAATGTTACCAAGAGAAAACAAGGTGAGGAGCTGGGTTTGTGTATTCAGTGGGTTATTTTAAAAACTTGTCTTGTGCCAATTGGCGGCGTGGTGGTTAAGGTGTTTGATCCCATATAACTGACTTCATGGTTCAAGTCCTGGACCTGACAGCTTAATAAACATACTGTGTGTGTGTGCTGTATGCATGCCCAAAATCCTGAGAGGAGAATGGAGGAGAAGGGATTGTAGCATGGCCAGTCTCCCCGGGGGGTGATATTTCACTTTCCCTCTCAGGGGAGTACACTTGCTTTATAGAAGAAAAGCTTAAAAATTGTCTTTATTGGCTGGCTCCATAGTACAGTGGTAATGTGCTGCTCAAGAGAAGCTGGATCCTATAGGGGGTCTATGGTTCAAATCTCTGGCTTGGTCTTCCTGAAACATGCTGGGGACATAGGGGAGCATCCAAGATATGAGGGACTAGGGGACTGGAGGAAGGGGATTGCCATGAGACCAGACCCTGTGGGGGATGCTCCTCTCACACTCTCATGTGCACACACATACATGCTGTATTATAAATAAAAGGACTTTTTTTAAAATTAAACTTGCCTTTTATGGTCTTATCACAGAGGATAATGTCCTTGAGCGTATGCAAAACTCCATATTTTAGCACATACAGGATAGTATACACATTGTTTTCTACTTAGCTATCTTGTTTCTCAGCTGTGTATGTTAGACAGCTGTTTATATCTACACTGATGTATCTAGCTCTTTTTAAAAAATAAGGCTGCAGACTAGGTTGTTGGATAGATGCAGCCAGCTTATTTAACTAGACCTTCATTGGTAGAAATGCCGCATAGCCAGTGTGCCTGCGTGAGCAAATTTGAGGACAGATTCTCAGCAGTGGAGTTGCTGGATCATGGCATAGACATATAAAACTCTGGTAAGAACTGCCTACAAGACAGTGGTACATTCGCACCCTATCCAAGAAGAGAGAAGAGTGTTTCTCCACTCCTGTAAATACTTGTAATACTATTTTAATTTCTACAAAAAATGACAGAGGGGAAATCACGTCCTATTTTGGTTGTAATTCTCAAGGTACGAGTGAGTTGTCATTTTACTGGATGCTTGTCTGCCTGTACTGCCTGTTTCGGGCCTTAACCATTTTTATCCAGTAGACTGTCCTCTATCTGTGTCTTTTTTCTTTCCTGTGGGCCCAACGTTCTCTTTACTAGGTGCTCACTTCTTTTAGGACACCACCTTGTGTGCTGTCACCATTTTGGAATAATTCTGGCTTAGGCTATAATCATTTTGCCTGTCTCTGGCCAAGAGAAGCCAGATCTGGGCCTCATTTCTCTAAAAACCTGTGAGGAAATGGAACGTGAGAGAGAAGCTGCTGGTCATGGCGCTTCGCCTCTTGCTCCAGAAGTGACTCGTGCAGTGCCCTGGAAAGCTGCCCTCAGCTCTTCATACTCTGCGTGGTTTAGATAGTTGTTTGTGTGTGGCCTTCAGACTTTTGTCATGTAGTATGGTGACTTGGTGCTCACGTGGAGTCTGTAAATGCTTTAGAAAGAAAGGAGTGGGGAGGAAGGGCTTGCTCACCCAGAGCAAGCAACAGTCTTGAGTAAACTGATGGTATTCCCTGGAAACTTCCAGGGATGATGCCTTTTTTATAATTAAATGAAGCTGTCTTATGGAGACACCCATCTTCCTCTGGGTGGGCATCACAGCTTTATTTATTTATTTTTTAAAAGAATTATTTAATTATTTTAAATTTGACCAGATAGGGACAGAGGGAGACAGAGAAAAAGAGAGAAGAAAAGTGAGAAAGCAAGCTGCCAGGTCTAGGACTCGAACCGCAGTTGGCCATGTGGGAGTCCAGCACCCTTAATCAACACGCCACCTGCCCACCCAGGTGGGCATCACAGCCTTATGGTAGGCTACAGACCAGATCATATGAAGGCCCTTGTGCCATGCAGCTGGCATGCCACGAGTAGCATTTCCTATCATTCTCTCCTAACCTTGTTCTCCAGATGATGAGGGTTCTGGAAGTAAAAGGCCCAAGGTGGAGTTTTCTGAAGAGGAGCTGAAGGCCCACGTCAGCAAGGGCACGCTAGGCAAGCTCACTGTGCCTGTGTTGAAGGAGGCCTGCAGGGTGTACGGGCTGAAGAGTGGGATGAAGAAGCAGGAGCTGATGGATGCACTCACCCAGCATTTCCAGGAGGCGTGATCAGAAGTCGTACGGTCAGCCACCCTTCCACTGTAGCCAGGCTGCCTGGTGTTGTTCTCATTGAGTTAAAAAATATTTCTCCTGCGAAGAGTTGATGCATATGAGAGTTTCTGTTGCCATGAGACCAGGTTGCCCTCCCGCTTCGCTGTGCCTTACTCTGCTGTCCAAATAAAGAGCCTCGACTTGGTTCTGCATGCCGCCCTCTAGAGTGGACGAGTCAGTGCGTCCGCCTGGCACCCAGAGGTGAAGGTCATGGCTGTTTGCTCAGTCTTCTGTCCCGCAGGGACCATAGGTCACAGTGGCAACAAAATATGTCAGTGGAGGTGGGGAGGGCGGGATAGTTAGGGGCACGTGAAAATGCTGCAGGAATAGCTAGCCCTACCCACTGTCCTCCACTGGTTTTTCTTTCATCGTGTCATGTTAAGATAAAAGATTTAGATTTCAGGGGTCGGCAGGTGGCATGGTGGTTAAGGCACTGACTCCCACATGGTTGACCATGGTTTGAACCCCAGACCTGGCAGCTTACTTTCTCTCTCTCTAATCAGATTGAATAATAATAAATAAATAAAATAAAAACTATTAAAAAATTACCCCAAAAAATTAGATTTCGAAGCAATAAGAGTATGTTTCAGGACCAGTGGATGGCATAATGGTTATATCACTGGACTCCCACATAGTCAACCACAGTTTGAGTCCTGGACCCAGCAACTTAAAACTCACACTGGGTGCATGTGCATGTATGCCAATCCCTAGAGAAGAATGGAGGAGAAGGGATTGCAGTGTGGCCACCGCCCCCCCCCCCCCCCGGGGGGGGTGAGTTCTCCCTTTCTGTTTCTCTCTCTCTCCACCAAGTGCACGCACCCTATAGCAAAAACCTCTCTTAGGGAGGAAAAAAAAGACTAATGTTTTTTGGGCCAGCTGATGGCATAGTGGTTAAGGCAACTGGATCCCACATGGTCAACTGCGTGGTTTGATTCCCAGACCCAGTGGCTTGAAAAACATGCCAGACGTGTGGTGTGTATGTGTGTGTGTATACCCAAAATCCTTAGAAGAGAATAGAGAAGGGATTGGGTGTGGCTGTTCTCCCAAGGAGTGATTTCTTTCTCTCTCTCTCTTTCCTTGGTTCTCTGGTGAGTACACGTACCCTATAACAAAACTGAAAAAAGAAAAACTTGGAGGGGAAAAGGATAGTTTTTCTAATTCTGGTACCGTGTGCTTCATGAGTAAACAGTGACCTTATTTGTTCATTCAATTATGTGAAGTTTTACACATTTTCTGTTGCTCTGAGAATTTGGGTTCCAATATCAAAATAATGAAGAGTTAATTCCCTTACTTTTCAGGAGAGCTGTAGGAAGTTCAAGATTAGGAGACCAGGAGGGGCATGCTCTTTCTCCCTGTTCCTCTCCTGCTCATTGTGCTGCTACTGCTTTTGAAGAATTTGCTGGAGGGAAAGAAATGAGCCTGGAAGGGTCTGTCCTCTGAGGATGACTTGAGTTTCGGGGTTTAGAGGTCCTGAGCAGCCCCCTCGTAACGGGGTGCGAGGGGGCAAGTTGTTCCTGTAAAGAGACTCAGCTTTGGATTCTTTGCTCTGGTTTTATAAAATTTTTAAACCTGTTTTTGCTTTTGATTTTGTTTGAGAGGGGATGTTACATTCTTTCTGGATTTCTTTCCCTGTCTGGGTGAAAGAGATAATTCTTCAATAAGAGATATTTAGTAAGTGCTCATTGTTAAATAATTAGCCCATCCCCTTTGAATGAAGTATGCTTGGAAACTCTGGATTCTAGGAGTTAATCTTCAAAGATGGCTTGGGTCTGTGTTAGTCATCCCAAAGCAGAGGAGAGGATGAGAGTGAGTCCCCCCCAGTTACTGAGCCCTCCCTACTCAACCCTGGGTATCCTGCCAGTGAGGAGCCCAAGAGTGCAGGAATTCCTGGCTGGCTCTTCCTGCACTCCTGAGTGACCTTACCAAAGTCCAGGCTTTGTTTCCACTGTCCCCTTATTGACACAATGGTGAGAATGAGAGTGACAGGGTCACATGGCAAACATTTATCAGAGCCAGACAGGCATGTGAATGAGTAAAAAAAATGAGCACTCGAGTCTGGAAAGTAGCTGTTAAATGATGTTTCTCTGTAAATTAGTAAAGCTTGCCCTTCCTGCCTATTGAGCTCCTCCAGGAGGAACAAGTACCATGGATTGGTTCTGCTTTTGGAAGCTGACAATTCAGATTTAGTCATTTTGCATCTTGGCGCCATCACATACATTAAGTGACCTTGGAGAGTTTGCTTGGCATTTTCAAGACTTGGTCTACTCATCTTCATAAGAAAATACTGTAGGTCAGCAGGTGGAGTGCAGGTCAAGGCAGCTGGATCCCACATGTCCAACTGCACTTCTAGTTCTAGTCTGGACCACAGCTTGAAAATGATGCTAGACTTGTGTGCATGCGTGCCCAAAAATTCCCAGAGGAGAATGGAGAAGGGATTGCCATGGTGGTCATCTCCCCAGGGGGGGTTCTCAGTTCCCCACCCCCTCTTTCTCTTTCTCTCTGTGGAGTGTGCACCCTATAGCAAAAACTTAAAAAAAAAAAAAATTTAGAAGCACTGCGGGTGAAAAAGAGAGAACCTGAATGCCACCAATCAAGCTCTTAACTGCTGCAAACATGCTTCCATTCGTCAGGTGGGGACCTGACTAGCACCAGTTAGTCCTGGGCCTGCGCATGCTCTCTGATGACGGGTAGCGCCAGTTGTGGGGGCAGCACAGAAGCAGGAGTCCGCATGGCAGAAACTACCAAACACATGTGATCACATGCATGTTTACCTTTAGACCAGATACAGCAGGACCAAAAGCAAAGCAGGCCATGAGTTTTGGCAGAGGCTAGACATCCTCTTCAATACCCACCTGTTATTTCAGAAATCCTGGCCCAGGGGAAACACCCTTTACACTCCAGCAGGAGCTATGACTACTCAGCCTTTCTGGCTTGAGCACAAACTGTACCTGAATATATGATTATCCTAGTAACTTTGATTGCATCACAGATAAAAGCTAATCCTATAGGCACCCCGAGGCCCCAGGAACACCTGTCACTGTCAGGGGCCTTCCCAGCACTTCTGGTGTCCTTCAACTATCCCCACTCTTATCACCCGCCCATCCCCTCGAGTTGTCTATTGCTGTATAACAAATTACCCCCAGAACTATCAACTTAATAAAACATTGGGACCAGCAGATAGCATAATGGTTTCATCACTAGACTCCCATGTAGTCGACTATGGTTCAAGTCCGGGACCTCGCAGCTTAAAATTCACACCAGGTGGTGTGCATACGTGCCCAAAATCCCAAGGGGAGAATGGAGAAGAGATTGCAGTGTGGCCATCCTCCCTGGGGGTGATTTCTCACTTTGTCTCTGTCTCTTCAGTGAGTGCACGGGCCCTATAGCAAAAAGTTTGCTAAAAAACAAACAATAAACATTATCCTCATGGCCATTTCTGTGGATGATGAATTTGGAAGCTGATAGGTTGCGTGGTTCTAGCTTAAAGCCAAGCAAGCCTGTGATCGCCCTCAAGATGGCCTGGGCTTCATCATCTGAAAGCTTGAGGCTGGGGAATCCACTTGCAGGGAGACTGTATTAATCATGTTTTATTTTCTGGGTCTTACATTTTGGTATCTTGAGGGGCCCTCCAAGTTAGATTGTCCCTCCCAAGGCTAACTAATTCCTAAAAGTAGTTAATGACTTACTTGGGAGAATGTCTCTCATGCAAGCCAACTTCCTCTATCTAATTTTCACACACTGTACCATTAATCCCCTGTTCTAAATCAGCCTAGGACCAGGTACCAGGCAACTAGAGACACTCCAAGGCCTCAAAGTCCACTGCAAACTAGCCAGATCCTACTGTTTATACTGTCTTGCCTTTTCAGAGGAAACTCTGGTAAAGGCTGTGGCTTAGGCTTCCCTCACCTGTTGTTGTCTCTTGACCAAAATCTGATGCTCTCTCTGTGGCCCTGTATGGTAGACTTGTCCCTTCCCTTTTTCTTGGGAAATGTAATTTATTTTTGTTTCTTTTAGGAGAGGTTTTCACTATTGAGTGCATGTGTTCGCCAGAAAGAGACAGACAGAAAGCACGTAATCACCCCCCAAAGGGGATGGCCATGCTGCAATCCCTTCTCCATTTTCCTCTCGGGATCTTGGGCATGCATGCACACACGCCCGGCGTGAGTTTAAGCCACCAAGTTTGGTACTCGAGCTGCGGTCAACTACATGGGAGTCCAGCGACATAGCCATTATGCTAACTGCTGGTCCCAAGGGAAATGTAATACTTATATTCTTCTTTTAGTGGCATTGACCTCTCAGTGTCATCAATCCTCTCAACTAATTAAAATCCCAAATCTCATAAATGAGACAGGCCACTCCATGTCTGGCAAAGTTGGCACTAGGTGCTGGCTCCCAGTCTTAGGACCTCCCTCCTCATGGTTTTTTTTTTTTTTTTTTTTTTGAGAGGTTTTTGCTATAGGGCGCTTGCACTCGCCAGACAGACAGACAGAGACAGAGACAGAGACAGAAAGCGAGAAATCACCTCCCAGGGGGGATGGCCACGCCGCAATCCCTTCTCCTCCATTCTCCTCTCGGGATCTTGGGCACACACGTACACGCGCCCAGTGTGAGTTTAAGCCACTGGGTCCAGTACTCGAACCACGGTCGACTACATAGGAGTCCAGCGACATAGCCACTACGCTAACTGCTGGTCCCCTCATGAGTTGTTTAAAAGTCTTCCTGGGACCAGCAGATGGTGTAATGGTTATATTGTTAGACTCCCATATAGTCGACGGTGGTTCAAGTCCTGGACCCAGTGGCTTCAAACTCAGGCCAGGTGCATGTGCATGAGTACCCAAGTCCTGAGAGGAAACTGGAGAAGGGATTGTGGTGTGGCCATAAACCTTGGGGGTGATTTCTCACTTTCTGTCTGTCCGGTAAGTGCATGTACCTTACAGCAAAAATCTCTTTTAAGGGGACCAGCCAGTGGCGTGGTGGTTAAGGTGCTGGACATTCCCATATGGCTGACCACGGTTTGAGCCCCCGACCTGGCAGCTTCCTTTCTCCCTTTCCCTCTCGCTCTCTCTCTCTGTCTCTCTCTCTGGTCAAATTAAAATAAATGAATGAATAAATAAAATTAAATAAGTAATCATTGTTTAAAAAAAATCATGAC